CAGATGCTGTTGGCATTCTGCTGCAGGAATTGCTTCACCCCATCATCAGGACTAGCCTGGTACAACATCTGAAGATTTCGCATCAAAATGCCTTTGAACTGTGGCGCATCCCCGGTGCAGTTCGGATCGCAGGATTCCTCGAGCACTCCATTGGAATCGCTCAATGTCTGTATAGCTGCATTTGCAATCCGCTGCGCTGTGACTATATACGATGTATTCGAGACCAGCTGCGACAACTCGACCAGCCCCCCTAGAATCACGCCCTGATTATAGCTCCAGACTGTGCCGTTGTTATTCTGACAGCTTGTCAGATCCAGTCCGTCGTTAATGGTATTGTTACTATTAATCAACCCGCTATTCTCGAACCAATTCCATTGTTTCATTGCCCAGTCGAGATAGTAAGATGCGTTATCGGCATCTCGTCGCCCTAGATGAGCAGCGACGCTCAAGAACAGCTCATTCTCGATAGCGTTGTTACCTGTATGACTCTTGTCCCACCAGATTCCCCCGCATGTAGTATCCCACCCGGCTGCCATGTCATCAAAGATGTTCACGGCAGTGTCAAGGTATCGCTGATCCTGAGTTAGATCGTAGGCCTGGATCCATGCTAACGCCCACCACCCCTCGTCATCGTAGTAATCATTGAGAAACTCAGTACCAGATTCAGTATCGTTCAAGGGTGACTGGTGCTTGTACTGCGGCGTTGGCTTGCGAAGGCTATGGGAAAGAGTGGACTTTGGGGCTTGGATAAATGTATTGTTGAAGGTTGCTGAGCTAGAGCTGATCATCGAGGGATCCAGTGCCGTGAGATCGCCCAGCACGGTCAGGCAAATGGCACTATTCCACCAGCCGGTCGTATCCCAGAGTCCTGTCGTTTGGTTGTACCATATCTGTAGTGTGCTCACGGCAGACTTGGCGTTGTCAAGATATGGTGTGGTGGAGGTGAGGGTTAGTTGACTGGGAGATGAGACGACGGTGGAGACAAGCCCCAGGAGAAAATATACTGCTGATGCGACCATTGTCAGGATATGAAAGGGGTCAGAGGGGGGAATGTCTGACGCTGGCGTTTATATCTTGTGGGCGCCCCTGACGCCGATCCTGATGTCATGTGGAATGCTCACAAGGCATCTGAAACACAGAATCCACACTGAGGGCAGGAGAAGGTCAGATTTATTGGAACCCATTCTCTGTATAAGAGCGATAGCTTTCTCTATGTACATATGGCCTGTGATGGCACAGGATGTTGGGGTTATACGCGAGGCAGGTGATAAGGGATCTGTGCGCAACCTGGAACAGGAGAATCGGGTTTGCCATGCTTTCCAGTAGACGTTGCCAGCTACGATAGCAGAAGCCAGTAGGTCAAATGTTACCGTCCTTTTGATTGTGAAACTCGGCTGCTTGGACAGGCGTTCAATCGCAGTAGTAGTAGGGTTCATCGCTCATGTGTTTAAAGTACATTCGAAGCTTCTGTTTAGGTAGTAATTATTCTAGTATCGCTCACCAAGGTTGTATTGCGATCAAGTACAAACAAAAGACAACAGTGACTGAGTGATTCAACAATGCAATATTTCCTTGATGAGAAGAAAGATTTATTGGAGCAGTCTAGTATCAAACGCAGTTCTGTGCATTGATAGCCTGTCCCGCACCTGTGCAACACCAACCCAATACCCCAGCGCCCAAGCTAGATGTTGATCGGATCCTTCCCGGTTCATACATTCAACATCCTGGAATCATCCTGCCTCTACTGCCAGTGGAGACTCTGGACTATTACCCTACATGATTTATTTAACGTGCCACTTCTGTCAGTCATCCCGGCGTTCTTATGCAGGTTACCCAGGGTTCAGACCTCAAAGCTCCAGGCTGCCGCTCTTGCTGCCTGGAGGTAATGCATCCCTCGGCACCTTCCATGCCATCATTCTTGCCCTATCCTCACCTCATCCGGACTCTCCCCCCTCCAGCATAAATACCCATCCCACCTCACTCGCTGCCGTTTGTTTCAATCCCCATCACGAAGCCTACTACAACAACTACCTTCGCCATCAACAAGACGGAAGATGTCTCGCTCGCCAGCCCATTTTGAGCGCACCCTTGTAGACCTGGAGGATTGGGTCAACAAGACTGCCATCGAGGTAAGTGCTCTGTTGGGTGTTGACTGGTTGATGTGGAAATTTATATTTGAGGCTTGTTCTTTCACATTCTGTTTTTTCTACCATATCTCTTGTACATTACCGTGAAGATATAAAGAACATGATAGCGTCTGAACCATCCTGAAAATATGCTGATATAACATGACAGGACTGCAAAGTCGATGCCTGCGTTGATAGGTTTCTTGTCCGTGTTTACCGGCTCAACCGTTCCATCCTGGATCAGTTGGAATCTAGATCATACTATGGCTATGGAAGAAGAGCTCCCAAGAAGCACCCAAAGCCATTGGAATGGAGTGGGGAGGGTGCCGAGGAGCTGCGGGAAATTGCCTCTGAACTCAGAGACAACTTGAATCGCCTTCTTCCGGGCTATATCGAGGAAAGCACTGATGTCCTTGGAAATGAAAAAATTCTTCGAAGAATCAATAGCCGATGGGAGGCTGTCGGCTCCAGGGTAGCCTGTGACCGGGAATATCTGCAGCAAACCTCCGACAAAGATAGTCTCGATGAAGTCAATGAGGACCCGGAGGATATGGAGACAGATGATATGGAAACTGAGGGTACCGACGCAGAAGATACTGAATCTGAGGATAGAGCAAAACAGATATCCAAGGGAGACGTGCGTGAGACAAAGGGCCCTGCAGTCCCTGAACCTGGTTTCATGGATAGACTCCTAGACACCTTGGGTGCGGCACGCGTGGCAACAGCAGAAGAGAAGAGTACCACCGGATCTTCGTCCCTAGCGACTGCTGCCTTTACGCAGGCATGCCAGCAGTTGAGAGAGGCGATTGAGAGCGAAACCTCGTCTGCCATGTTCACATGTGGAGGCAGCATCCCGATTGTGAATCCCATCGGCTCCGAGCAAGCAGCAGCTGGACCTACTTCACCCCGTGTGCAGGTGGTTCACTGGGGTGCTGATCACGACTCCACCGCACAAAAGCTCACTCTTCCAGTGCTAAGTGAGACCAGTGATGGTTCAATCCACGGACTCCAAACACTTCTTGATGCTTGCCAACCTGCGAGTTTTGGTAGGGGTGGGCAGGACATCCTTGACCCTGAATACCGTCGGGCAGGGAAGCTTGACCCCGACCGATTTTTGACGAGCTTCCACCCAGCCGACTTTGGCATTGTTGAGCTCATCGAGCAGATCCTTCTGCCTGGTATAAGCAGTGAGACCGAGAATCGATTGCAGTTCCGCAAGCTGAAGGCTGAGTTGTATAAATTAAATGTCCGTTTGCTCCCGTCCCTAACATTATGACGTGCTGACTGAAACCACTGCAGGTATACTCGGGCCCTTCTGGGCATTTCCGAAAGCATGTCGACACGCCACGCTCGGAGCACCAGATTGGATCACTCGTGGTTTGTCTGCCATGCCAATTCGAGGGAGGCAACCTGATTGTGCAGCATCACGGGCAGATGGCCAAGTTTGAATGGAGCCGACAAAGTAGCTCTAGTATTCAATGGGCAGCCTTCTACTCGGATTGCGAGCATGAAATCGAGACGATCAGAGCGGGCCATCGGATCACGCTCACATACAACCTATATGTACGGGAAATGCCCGGTGCCATACTCGCTCCCATCCGTCCCGTGCTTGATCCCCACACTCTCCCACTTTATGGGTTGATTGAAAGTCTACTTACCACCCCTGGATTCATGAAAGATGGTAAGTTGCCCCCGGTCAATATCTTCTTTGTACTCCGAATATACCATGTCTAATGGTCTGTGATAGGCGGCGTGTTTGGAGTCCACTGCTCCCATGCCTATCCCCATACTTCGGATATAGCCGGGCTCCAGCTCCCGCGTTCATTGAAGGGCGCCGACCTTGTCGTCTATGCGGTTTTTGAAGCACTTGGTTTGGATGTCAGCATCCTCCCGGTTTTGGAATATGATGAAGACTATGAAGATAATGGAGCACCCTACTTCGGCGATTCCGAACAGGACTCAGGCTCTGAGCAAGACTCAGATTCTGGGCGTGGGTGGTACTACAATAGAAACTACTTGCGTTCTGTTCCAAAATATTACCTGGCAAAGGGCAAAAAGTCTTCCCTCAGGTATAGCGAAGTGTACCCTTGGAAGTCTAGTAGTGCACTTCTTGATGTGGACCAGCACTGGAAGCGTCTGTTGTTGACACGCGAAGTGGTTGATGTGATAGAAGCCTTCTCGTTTGGAGAAAAGCACCACCTGCCAAAGAAGCCGAACAGCCTCTACGAGGAATGGGGTGTCCGTGTGGCTCCATATCTCCGAAGATACATTAGGTCTGATCGCGGACAGGAGGAGGACCTCAAAGAGGTAAGCTACATCTCAGAATTTCTTGCGGACTTGAAATCTAATTTTTCCACTTGCCAGGTGACCAACGATGTCTGGCCGTCATACTACCTCCCTGGCATTACCTGGCTTGGCGAAGCCAAGCATAAGGAGATGGCATTTTCTCACATTTCTTATGGAAATGAGGCTAGTATCGGCACTCGTTATTCCTGTGCAGTGATCTTGGCCGTTGTTCCGCCCTTCAGTCAACGCGGCCAAAGCGGGAAGATGAAGTAGTCCAGGGAGAGTAGCAGAAATTTCCTCGTGAAATGAGATTGAGTGAGCAATTACGCCTCGCTCTCTATTCTTTTTTTTAGTTAGTTGCAATGAAATTGAACCTTATCCCTATTTCTTTCACTCTCATTGGTCTTTGTAGCTCTCCTTTAATGCTCAATCGGGCTTCATTCTCAGCAACATGATGCCAAACTCACACAGTATCCGTGGTATACGATCGTACTTTACGGGATCTCGTGACAGTAGTCTACACCACCATCTCAGCTATACAATCGTTGGAACATGTATATTCATAAAGCTCTATCAGTGAACGCAACTCTAAGTATACCACGACGGCTCCGGCACCTCACCCAACAGAGCATACCTCCCCAGCTCGCGATTCTTATACGCCACCGGATCATGCAGGGTATGGGTCCGGATATCCCGCCAAAAGCGATCCAACCCGACCTTCACAGCCGTCGCCCTCGCACCAGTAACCTCAAAGATCCCCGAAGTCACCCTCAATCCAACATCCGTAGTGACCACCTTGACACTGGCAACCCACTCGGCCAATTCACCCCGTTGTCTGGCCGTCAACCCAGGCCGATTATCCGAGTGTTCGCGATACAAGGTAGAGATCTCCTCCCCTGCCCGATCAGCCAGCGCCTCTGCCGCACGGAGATGCGCGAAGAAGTTCCCGTATCGCTCGAGAATGTAGAATTCTTCCGTCGCGGAGGCCTTGTTGTCCCCGCCGAAGGGCCACGGACGGGTCGTGCTCACGGTGTATTGGGATGCAAAGTCTAGTGCGCCCTGGGCGATGCCGAGGTAGAAGTTGCTGAAGACGAGTTGGATTCTGCCCTCTCAGTTAGCATTACAATATTTATGAATGAATATAAATGTAAAGAAAGGAAGGTAGAACATACGTCGGAAGCAACAAACTCGCAAACGGCACGCCCAGAACCTCCTCGCGCGGCCTCTTCGACACATTATCCCATCCCAGTGCGTCTGTCCACGGCGCACGCACATTCTCTATCTTGACTCCTCCGGACTCGGTCAAGCGTAGTCCGATGTTGTTCCAGTTATGCGCAAATTTGATCCCCGCCTGTCGGGTCTCGACCAGCGCGAAGATGTGCTCGCCTGTGCCGTCCAGGACGCCCTCGAGGACGGTGAGGTCGGAGACCACACCACCTGTGTTGAAGAACTTGGCCCCGTTGAAGATGATGTCCTCTCCGTCGGAGGTGATGGTTAGATCGCTGTCGCGGGGATTGACGGCCCCGCCGACGAAGTAGTTGTTTGTGATGATCCATTGGTGGATGCGGTCGGCTTGAGAGGGGGTGCCGACGATGTTGGCGGTTGTGGACCAGAGGAGGTGGTAGCCGAGGAGCATGCCGATTGATCTGGTGGGTTTGGGTTAGTATTGCTGTTGTGTGATGTGGATGATGGAATGGAATGGGGGCGGGGAGTGTGTACCCATCTCCTTTGGCCACCTCGCGAATGGCCTTGTATCCCACGCTCCAGGGCTGTTCGCCTCCGCCATATTTCTTGGGACCCAGCAGCTTCAGCAGTCCGGAGTGTTTGAGTAGGGCTACTTCCGCCCGTGGGGACTTGTTCTCTTGCTCGCGCTGCGCGGCGTCTTTGCTTAGTACGGTGGCTACTTCACGCGCCCGGGCTAGCCAGGCGTCGGCGGTGTCGGGTAATGAAGCCCATTGGGTTTTGTAGGCCTCGTAGACAGCTGGGTCAGTGGCTGGGACGTCGGATTGGGTCATGGTGGTGGTTGTGAGGATAGCAAGGTGAAGAGTGAGGGTTGAGAGGGGCTGGGAGGAGTTGCTGCGAGCATGGTGACACAGGGCAACTACTTGCATATAAGTAGGGTGTTGTGATAGACTCAAAAAGTAGTCAAGAGGTGGTGATGATTGCGCTGGAAGCTTGTAAATGACGCGCACGGATCACGCCATCTGCGGGCTTGAGCACATCGCATCGTGGATCGACAAGGTGAGGGTTGTTGGATAGTTTGAGTGGAAGGGAGATGTCGTTATCCCGCTGAGAATGGCACAACCAGCGCAATTACGGGGGTTGGCTTGGAACATAAGCTTATCTTGCGGCACAACAATTAGCTCAATACATTATATCCTGATATACTATACTACTACTAATTAGTCCTCCTATTGTCGATCTCCATCCCATCCATTTCTAACCCCACCACACTGCGTAGCCCTCTACTCTTCCCTCCCTTTCCTACTCTTCGCAAAATACCTCCCCGTATCCCCCAACGGCAACTCCAACAGACTATTATCCTTCAAGAACAGGTGAAACACAATATACCACCCCACCATCCCCGCCACAAAGCAACTTGCCCCTCCGGTCTTGCGCAATGCTCTCGCCGAGTCAGCGTGTCCATCCGCATCCGCAAAGTAACTCGCCGCCACAGTCAAGAACCCCAGATCCACAAAGAAGAATACCGCAATGTTCGCCAGGTTGATCGGTAGTGATGCTATAAGGAATGTGAATACGAATACCGTCCATAATATCATGAAGAACCCCAGCGCATTATTGTACTGCGTTGTGTCGGAACCGTAGGCTTGTGCGACGCCAAAGGCTGGAGTGAGGATCGCGCCGTAACCAGCGTAGAAAAGACCTGTTCGGAATATCAGTCTGATTAGCTTTGCTATTTTGGTTGAAAGGAACGGGGTGCATGAGTGAGGTATACCGAATGCGCTGAATACTGTGTACGCGAAACCATTTCCCACCGAGAGCTCCCATTGTGCAGTGATGACGAGTCCAAATGCTGCGATGAAGAAGAAGTTACCCACGTAGACGTTGGTGATGGTCACGCCGCGCCATTCCATCAGGCTGAGGGATAGGGTAGTCAGTGTCGTGCCGAATGCGCCAAGAGCTAGTGCAGACTGCATATAATATGCACATTAGTCGATGGTTCGCGGTGAATATAAGAAATGACATACGCCTGCGCCGAGAGACTTTGGTGCCACTGGCACTGCAGCTGCAGCTGCAGATACAGACGCTTGTCGCTCAATGTCGAATGCATCGGTGGCATTCTTAGTTTCTGTTGGCAAGCTGGTAGACATGGTGCTACACTGAATATGGTGCAGGTAGGAATAGATAGTTGTGCTGATTCAGGATCTCGACTTCTACGGGTGGTCCCCAGATCCCGATATCTTATAAACGCCCGGGCCTCATTTTGGGTCCATTACGCCATTTGGATACCGAGTGGTGAGCAGAAATTGACTCCAGAGTGGACGGGATCTCTACGGGATATGCGCGGGATCTGCTGAAAATCGACCACTTCGGAATGAGATTCAGACTGCCGGAAGGGGGGGTAAAATCAAGTTCTTAACCGTCTTAAATTCATATTAAGGTATAAAGTATGGCTATACTGGTTGTGGGGGCTGATCATACGATGGCCTCATCGCGCCGCCGATGAGGTGCTAGTCTAATTTTTGGTCCAACCCACAACACTCTTAGTAGCTGCGATCAATCCAGTCGCCCCAGGATTCGCCCAGCACCGTGGTCTTGTCAACTGCCGCGGAAATGGAGGACTCATACTCGCGGTCTGAGGTGTCTGATCCCGCGCCAGAGTTGTTGTACTCATAATACAGCGGTGTCGCACCGTCTGCCATGGTCGTCCACCCCTTGGGGTTAATGATGTCCGACAACACCGAGTTCTGGTAGATGACCCGCGCAAGCACGCGCCACGGCCGGCCCAGGTATACCTTCTCCGTCAGGGAGACGCCTGATGCGGCCTTAATGTTGCAGTTGTCGATGGCGTACCAGCCTGAGTCGGAGGAGGTTTCGCGCGATGAGGCCGTGATGGCGCCGGCGCCGTTGGACACAATGTCACACTCGCCAAACCACACCGATGCATCCCCGAAGATGTAGTCGACCGCGCCTGGAATAGTCAGTCAAATTTGACTCGTGCTGTTTGGACAGATACTGACCCTCGATCATGCAGTTGGAGTAGTACTGGGTGCCGGCCTTGACATAGAGGGTGTCCTGGTACCCGCTGAATTGACACCCATAGAAGCCGAGCTGATCTGCGTTTCCGACGAGACTACCATGCTATTAAGCTACCACTCTTCTTCTGTTGGGGAAGTCAGGATACGTACGCCACCGCCTGTGATCCCTCCCCATATCCATTCTCCACGTTGATGTTGTACATGCTGAACCCGTCCGACACCACGTTGACGGTGGCGCTCTTGTCGAGAGAGCCGGCATCCGACGACGAGATGGTGTGGGTAATGCTAACCACATTGTCCTTGTAGGTGCCAGTATCGGTGGTCTCACCGTATAGTGTCAGGTTGCCATCATAGTCGATGGTCAGCTGCTCCTCATACGTGCCGCTAGCCACGTAAATGCAAGCGGACGAAGTGGATGAGCCCAGAGCATCAAGCGCATCGCCGATGGTGGAATATGTGCCGTCGGATCCGACCGTCAGGCACCCCGAGGGAGCACTAGTCCGACTCTCTCGCTTCTTAAGGTGCTCTGCCGGAGCTCCGACCGCGGTAGCAGTTAGGACGGCAAGAGTGCCCAGAAGGTATAAAGTATACATGGTGGTTTGTTGCTGTAAGTGAGGATGATGTCCAAGCAGGGGGTCAGAAAAGGAAGGAATCGACAGCTATGCCAAGTGACTATATAACCTGCTTCCGAGTACATGCCACAAGTCTGTCAGCTCAAGGCATGACATCTCCAGATGTCTCTCTTCGCCCTAGAAGGCTGCCAACAAGACACTGGGACCGAACGGCGGCCAAGCGCCAAGAGACACCATTGCCGGAGAATTTACTCCACACTTCCATGAATAACCATCTTCCCTTCCTGGCAGGGACGCCATGGCGTTTCAAATAAGCACCCTCCGCCTGCAGGAACGCGCCGTTGACACCGACGGTCTTCCGTGCAGAATGGAGCGATTGGCAGCGTGCCATCGGGAAGCTACCAGACAGGTTCAGCCCTCAGCAGGGGGCGGAGGAACAGCCCTTGCAAATTATCCGGATCGACATACCAGCACGTCAGCTGGCAGCTCTGCTTCCTAGAACGGTCGAGTGTTGCATGTTAGTGGGCGGGGTTTCGTCGCGCCTCGCAGGGATCGGTCGGCAGTTCGGCATAAGAATAAATTGCAAAGTCGTGTTCACAGTTCATTGAGGACCCTGCCAGCTGTTGTAGGCCAATTAACCGATACTCAACAGGCCATGACATGGTCAGGGCACGGCGGTAGCTCCGTCACTAAATTAAGCATCCGGCTCGTTTCAAACTGACCCCCAGCCGAAATGACAGGGTCTGCCTCGGCATCCCACACAATTTTCACTGATTCAGTTCGCTGCAACTAAATACTACTGCCGCATGAGGTACAGTTCCATATACATCCGAGCAGGATGTGACTCGTATATAGTGGGCTAGGCATCGCCGGAGTGATCGCCTGTTCCGAAAGCGCGAGTAATCCATAATCATTCTCACAAAAGCGCTCATCATGGCGCTATATCGTAACTTCTTCCTTCTGGCCAGCCTTGGGCTAAGCAATGCTGCTCCCTCCAAGGTCCAGCGAGCCCCGGATTCTTCCCTTCACGCTCGCGCCGTCTGTACCCCTACCGCAGGAGGCGATTCGTCCACCGACGATGTCCCCGCCATCACTGAGGCCCTCAGCTCGTGCGGAAATGGTGGCACCATCGTCTTCCCCGAGGGCAGCACCTACTACCTCAACAGTGTGCTGGACTTGGACAGCTGCAGCGATTGTGACATCCAGGTGGAAGGTCTTTTGAAGTTCGCCAGCGATACCGATTATTGGAGCGGTCGCACCGCGATGATCAGTGTTTCCGATGTAGATGGAATGAAGCTGCGCTCATTGACCGGATCTGGTGTCATCGATGGCAATGGCCAGGATGCGTATGTAGTCACCCCTCTCAGAAGCAAGTCTTCTAGTCCATTTGACTCTGACTGAATCAATCCAGGTGGGATCTCTTTGCTTCGGACAGTAGTTACTCACGCCCAACGCTCTTGTACATCACTGGCGGCAGCAACCTAGAAATCTCTGGGCTGCGTCAGAAGAATCCACCCAACGTGTTCAACTCGGTCAAGGGTGGCGCCACTAACGTAGTCTTCTCCAACCTGAAGATGGATGCAAACTCCAAGTCAGACAACCCGCCCAAGAATACTGATGGGTTCGACATTGGCGAGAGTACCTACGTGACCATCACCGAGGTCACCGTAGTCAACGATGATGACTGTGTCGCCTTCAAGCCCAGTTCCAACTACGTGACAGTGGACACAATCAGCTGCACCGGCTCCCATGGCATTTCCGTGGGATCGCTGGGCAAGTCGAGCGACGACTGGGTCAAGAACATTTATGTCACGGGCGCAACTATGATCAACTCCACCAAAGCCGCGGGGATCAAGACTTATCCGAGTGGAGGCGACCACGGTACCTCCACGGTCAGCAATGTGACCTTCAACGATTTCACTGTGGACAACTCCGACTACGCCTTCCAGATCCAGAGCTGCTATGGCGAGGACGATGACTATTGCGAGGAAAACCCGGGCAACGCCAAACTGACGGATATTGTCGTGACAAGCTTCAGTGGGACAACCAGTGACAAGTACGACCCGGTTGTGGCCAACCTTGATTGCGGTGCGGATGGAACGTGTGGCATCTCCATCAGTGGGTTCGACGTCAAGGCGCCATCGGGCAAGTCTGAAGTGTTGTGCGCCAACACCCCGTCTGGTTTGGGCGTCACTTGCACTTCGGGAGCTTCAGGCTAAATAGCCTTGGCCAGAATGCTTTCTGAATCCACTGGGTGGAGATCTTCTTCAGGGTTGATATTTGGTATGGTCGTATGTATTGCAGAATGTGACAATAGAATTAGTGAAATTACCATCTTTTTCGAAAGACAATGCAGTCGGATTGTACGCAACACTTTTGTAGGTCGATAAATGATCTAACGAGCGATCTGGTGCAAGTGTTGATGGGGATTCCTTCAGGCAGTGTAATCAATCGGGCTTCATCCGGACTGCAAACACTCCCACCGTCATGTTTAATATACGGCACCACCGCTGATTTGTCGGTCATCCCGTCCTTCTCTCCGTGTCCCCGCAATAAGCTGCATTCTGCATCATCGTTGGGTCCAAATGGGACCCTTCGGCCAGTGCCGCTCGTCCATCCCCAGGAAGTGGACGCGGGGAGGCTGGCGTGGGGATGGAACCACCGCACCATCCGGCATAAGACATATCCGCTGATCCTTCCTCCGCCAATCGGCCCTCTCTGGCGTCCGTCGCATCTATACCAGCCCGGAGATCGGTCCCAGAAACATCATCCGACTTCCGCACTGTTGAGCTTTCTTCCTGAATTACTCCGAATGCCCGGGATGGATGACGGAGCTCAAGCTTTGAGAAGGATTTTTCCCACGGGATGTTTGGCGCTATATAAGGATCAAAAGGGCGCCCAAGGATCATCTGGGATTCGTCTGAATCAGGATCCCGGCCCAGGAACGGCAGGCAGTAATCATGAAGCTATCTTGGAATATTGGCGCCCTTCTTGGGAGCGCTGCCATTGCGTCCGCCGAGGTCTATCCTCCATATTATGCCAACCTTACCTGGCAGCCCCCGCGGACGCTTTCCAACTGGTCCAATTTGACCGTGGAGACGCAGACGGGCACCTTCATCGGAATGCTGAATGATACTTACCCCAATGTTCGCCAATTCCTGCGCATTCCGTATGCCAAGGTCGGTGCTGATTGACTTCTTGGACACGACCATCTCTGCTGACCAGATCATTGCGATAGCCTCCTGTCGGTGACCTTCGCTGGATGCCCCCACAAAAACCTGAAAAGTCGCGCAGGAAGTATGACTCGACTCGATATGGGCCAGGTACTATGAAATTCTTAACAAACCGTACAACGTCCCGATGGTAACATCAGCTAACCCACGGCCAGCCTGTCCGCAATATGTGACTGGTGAAAGCACCATGTGGAACAAATATTCACCCCCTAACCTATTGGTCAACTTGGGAGAAAACCTTAATCAAGGGGCAGTGGCTTGGTCGACGTCGGAAGACTGTCTGTCATTGGCAGTCTGGACTCCGTCTTATGCCAATCGCACCTCGAAGTTGCCTGTAGCATTGTTCGTCACTGGTGGAGGAGGCATTACAGGCGGGATTGAAATCCCCTCTCAGCTGCCCTCGCCGTGGGTGTCTCGCTCACAGGAACATATTGTTGTGACCATCAATTACCGCGCGAACATCTTTGGAAGTATGTCTCCCGCCTGCTATGCTATTGCGTCCACTAACGTATATGCCTGTAGATCCCAAGTCCCGGGCCCTGAACGACACGTCGCTCACGCTGCTGGACGTGAGGGCGGCGGCGGAATGGGTGCATGAGAACATCGAGGCTTTTGGTGGAGATCGCGACAATATCATGGTCGGTCGTCCTACACCATGCTGAACTAGCTCTGTGCAATGCGACTAATTACTATCTGTAGCTCTGGGGTCAATCCCAAGGAGCAGCCCTGACACACCTCTACACCCTCGCCTTCCCCGATGACCCGCTGGCAGTTAAATTCGGCATCATCTCACAGCCACCCTCCGTCACTATCGACTTGAGCACCACCGACGACGTCTACCAGGATTTTGACATTGTCGCCAAGGCCCTGGGCTGCAACTACGGCGATGATGCGGAAGCCGAGCTGGAGTGCATGCGTCAGGTCTCTTGGGTGCAGATTGAGGAATACATTAATCGGTACTCGGGCTCACCCTCGATTGCATTCAGCAATTACATCCGTATGAACTGTCCGTCCCCTTCATTTGTCACGCACTAATAGTACTTCCAGCCGACGAAAAATACATCTTCTCCAACGAATCAAAGCGATACCTCGAAGGCAAGGTCGCCCGAGGCCCAGCCATCCGCTCCGACGCAGCCCGCGAGGACGCATCGGCGAATACCACGAGCGTAATGATCAGCGAGGGAGAATGGGATTGCAGGGCTGCTCAGGACTCAGCTTTGCGAAAGTCTCTCGGGCTCGAGACGTACCGGTACTTCTGGGCCGGCAACTTTACCAATATCAGTCCCGTTGACTGGTTGGGGGCCTTCCACTGGTCGGACCTGTTAATGATCTTTGGGACTTATCGCGAAGACGTCGGAGAGGTCCCGGGGCTGGAGGTGAAGACTTCTGAGACTATGCAGGATCATATTCTGGCGTTCTTGAAGAATCCTTCTACGGTTAATGTCACGGTTGGATGGCCGGCCTTCGATGCGGATGCTCCTGGGGGTGGAGAGATTCTAGAGTTTGGCGAGGGTACGCCAGTGCGGAAGGTGACTGGGGACTGGTTGGATGGGGGATGCTACAACTCCTCGATTCCATTCCGTATTTGGACGTGATATGTAGGTTTGGGAGAATACTCAGTTTGGTTGATGTTATGTGCGATGAGTGATGATATGCTATCTGCAATAAATAATGGGATTGGGGTGATAACTTAGCCCCAAACTGGGTTGCCAAATATCCAATCAATGACAGGTGAGAAAATAACATAAAGTCATTACGTAGTTCAATTTCAGTACCGTGGCGACGCTTCCTTGGGAATTTCCAGTAGATCTCCGACCGGTCGGGCCTCCATCCACGCATCCATTGCCTCGTACAGCTTGTAGAACGCCTTGTTGTTCATCGTCGGCAAATCATTCAAGATGGGATGGCCCAGCTTGGCCTGTGCCACTGCCAGATACTGATAACCCTTGGGGTATTTCTCCAACTCCGCCCGGTCAAATTTCGGCACCGTCTGGCCATCTGCGGGTGTGACGCGATCCTTCTCGTAGAACAGTTTTATGTAGACCACTTTCCAATCCCCTCCCTGTTTCAGACAGAAGTTTATGAAGCGGCAATCACACTCGACGTCAAACTCAACTCCGTCCCAGTTGAAGCGTTGAGTGATGGTGGCCTTCATTTTACCGATGGCGCGACCGGTGGTCGGGTTCAGGTCTACGAGCGTGCCGTTTTCGCGATGCATGATGTGGTCTCCATTGGCGCGTCCCTTGATGGATGTCTGGATGAAATCGTCTATGGGGAGTCCGCCGCTCCAGGCTGGAAAGAGACACGGCATGTTAGCTAAACTGGCTGCCCCGAAAGGAGAGACGCGACCTACTAGTGAAGACAAAAGCGCCCTTGTCGACAAAGAGATGGCGGTAGTGGTTCCATTCGGAGGCGTCGCGATATACTGGCCAACCCTTGCAGAGCTCGGAGATGCAGTAGCGATCGAGGATATCGCCCTCGGAGCCATTGATGTGGCTCCAAATAGTAGGCTGCGTTTCTTTCTCGGTGATATTGTAGACCATACTGGATGGGAATATCTCGAGGGCCGGTTAAAAGGTGAACACACCTCTACCAGGCCTGCACATCCAGCAGTATATCTATAACTCGTGGCTACCCCTCCCGATCCCAGGTTCACTCGACATGACATCATTCCCGACCGTGGTTGAAGCTGCCTGTCAGAGTTAAGGCTTTCCGTAGCATCCGGGGTTCTCGATCCGGCTTTCAACTCCCGACTGGGCGAATCGGTCCCATCCTGCGGAGTGATATAGCATCATTGTGCTCTGTGGAGGACATGGCAGCCGAATTGGCATGGGCAAACCGGGTGAGGGTGGCACGCGAGGATCGGAGTGGGCGTTCAGGAGTGCGGTTGCAGCCTGTCACTCATGATTCCTTCATGTTGTTGGAATTGGGTTGACGGTAACTGTCTGCATGCGGGAGAAGCTTAGATCATGCTTGGTCGTTGATGTGTGATAATCTGATAATGAAAAAAAGATAAGCATACAACTGTGGAGGGCGACGCGATATATGTTTCCCGGAGGAAATAGATTCACAGTACTCCGTACGGAGTCCTTGACAACTAATTGATTGTTGGGCAATTGCAGCCGGAAACTTGTTGTGGAGGAAGAGTCAGTCCCGCCTCTGCGCTAATCCCAAAGTGGATAGATAGTACGTGACGGTGCCTGCTTCTGCCTCAGGTTGTAACACCCATCGCACGCCAGTTTTTTTGTGTTTTCTCTACTATGATGGAGGTAAACCATTACTCTATATATATTCTACCTTATGCTACCGTGGTAAGTGTCTGAGGATCAAGTTGAAACCAACGACTTCCCGTTGGCGAGACCGTTCCAATTAATCTCGATATATATGAATATATGTTGTCGCATTTCCAGGTAGTACTACTAAGTAGTAACACCATCTGAATCGAAAGCAAATCTTAGGTGTATAGTATCTTCATAGTCCCACGCCATCATTTGTATGCAAAGGCCCCTCTTGAGAAACTAGTACTTATCTCACAACCGATTAAGCAATACCGATCTAACAGAAGAATAACTAACCCAATATCAAGTATATCAAGTACTTTCTAGGGATCCGTCGGCGGTTCGGCACGTGTCCCGCGCGGGGGTTCTGCCGTGTTTCCCCGCCCCCCTTTTCTCCTCACTTTTCACCCCCCCACACATGCCTGCTCGATCCATCTCCCAAGTCGCTTCTGTTGCTCAGTTGTCTTGCGATCTATCTACTTCTCCTGCCCTTATTGACTGATACCATATGCGAACCATACTCTGCACGGTTCAAAATTACAATCTGGCTACACCTATATGAGATTGATGGAGCAGAAGGTCTGAGGCAGACCATGAACCTCTACAATCATGTGAACAGCAACTCCCAGGAACTTTTCCTTCATTAGAGACTAATGGGCTCACCCCGCCAAGCTATTGAAGGATATCTATATATACACGAACAAATGGCAGAAAGAAAGAGCGAGTGGCTGGCGCGACCATTAACCTATTACTTGCACTGAACCAGAACCCCCCCCAACATTGGGCCTCACCTATCACAGAAAAGGAGATATGTCGACATTAAATTGGAAGCAGTGTGAGACCCGTGAAAATCTCCGCCGAAGCAGACAATCGGCAGGAAAGAAAGACCTAAACCAACAACTAGAGGTGCACTCCCCCTTCGGAACTGGAAGCGGACGTGCCGTGGTAGTTTCCTAGATAGTCTCCCAGCTCTGAGATGGCTAGTTGCCGAAGCTCACTGCGCAACACCTTGCCGGACTGTCACGAACAGTATGGTCAGCATCTGCAGCTCATGGAGGGCAATGGCAATGGCAAGGAATAGTGCATACCGCGTTCCGAGGAATCTTCTCAATGAACGAGAGACCGCCTGACAGACGCTTGTATGGAGGTAGCTTCTCCGAGATGAGCTCATGGATCTCCTCGGCGGACACGGAGGTCTTCGGGTACGTCTGGATGTAGGCCCGGGGCCCCTCGTCCTCGTTTCTGCGGGAGTTAGATTCATCTTCCAAACCATGACACAGGCGGCTTACACTGCGACTCCGATAACCCCAACATCACAGACGTGCGGGTGCTGTAGTAGGACAGACTCAATCTCGACCGGAGATACGTGGCTTCCGTTAACCTTGATCAAATCCTGTGGTAACAGTGAGCTAGAGTCCTATGTTTCCTGCCAAACCCGGCGGCAAGGTTGCAAGGAATCACCTTTTTACGGTCGACAATATACCAATTGCCTTCGTCATCGACGTATCCTACATCTCCTGTGCTGATCCAGCCGCCTGCCCCCATCACTTGCTCCGTCGCGGCTGGATTGTTCCAGTACCCTCGCGTTGATCCTGGCGTGCGGATCCAGATGTCGCCAACCTCTCCTGTCTTCAACGTCCGCGAGGGATCGCTGGAATCAGTTACTTTTCCTTCGTATGTGGCGTTCAGTTGCCCGACCGTCTCGGACTTTGGCGGGCGCAGGGGATCGGGCCCAGTAATAGTCCCCGTTCTATTCAGTCATAGAGTCAGCAACAGTGAACACTCGTCTTGCAGGACCCCGCTTACTCTGTAAGCCCCCAGGCACGGGCGACGTATCCAATCCCCATGCCTTCGAGCTTGAACTTCGTGAACTGGCTCATTGGCGCAGCACACGCCTCGACACGACGGAGGCATGACAGATCGTATTGTTGACAAACGGAGGCATTCTTTGCCATGGAAGTAAGAACAGAGCTCCGAATGATTGCATCCGTGATCTGGAACCGCTCAACTGCCTCGCAGATGCTTCGGAAGTCATTGCGTCGCATCAAGTACAGCGGAACACCCATCCTGGGAAAGATGGCGCAGTATGACCGCTGCCCCACACTGTGATTGATCGCAAGAGAACCCAACACACGGACGTTTTCAGGGCCTCCATGACGAGGGTTGTACTTCCAAGCTGGATGTGAGGAAATCCGTCGGATGTATCCCATCGCTGCAGCGATGTAGTTGCGATGCGACAGTTCCACCCCCTTGGGCTCACCAGTTGTGCCGGAAGTAAAAAGAAGCATAATTGTACTGTTGTACTCCTGGGAAGAAATGACAGAGGGGTACCAAAATCGGGACCCCTCCCATTCGGACGCCACCATCGTTTGCCAGTGCTGGATTGGACCTTCTGGCTCGCCGCAGCCGTCTAGGAGGTCATCATCAAAGACGAAAATTCGGTCATCGGGATGATTGGCTAGACGTGCAGCTTGAAGGGCAACTGGAAGGGTGGCACGGCTGGCAAAGATTACCGAAGGTTGCGAAAAGCAGATGAGACGATGGAATTCGGCCTGGTTGAGAGCAGGTTGTCCTGAAGCGAAGATACAGCCGGCCATCACGGTGCCCATGAGGAGCGCAGGATAGCAGAGGGCATTGGAGGTCACACACAGCACGCGATCTTTCGGGTTGACGCCCAGTTTCTGCAAGCCCACCGCTACCCGAGCAGATAGGAGTCGGTATTGTGCCAGCGACAAAGCTCTCGTGTCAGGGGAGTCGGCATCAATGAGGATCTTTCGGCTACTCGGAGAGCGTCGAGGGGAGCCAAAGACAAATCGGGGGAGTGAACATTGAGGGATGGGTGTAGTCCATTTCGAAACAGTGTGCGAAGACCTGTCGCTGTGTTGTCGGGGCATTGGTGGAGGATGCATGATGAAGAGAAGTTCACGAGATTATCACCACTGGCTCTGTCTCCAAGCTTCTTTGATCTGCTCGTGTCTGGGCTTTGGTCTCTCAGTGGACCCTCTCTCCCTTATATACTTTCTACGACGAAGGCTCGTTCTCAGCCAGCAGGGATTGGTGATGGATTTACGTAAATGAACCTTCTGGCGTAAGTCCTTCGAGCTGAGCATTGATGCCTGTTGACCAAGAAACTATGGAACAATAGCTTGAGACTGGCTGCTGCTGATGAAATCTATCGATCTGCACGTGTGGGCCAGGGGCCGTCTTGGTTTGCTGCAGCTCTAGGCCGATGATCTGCGCCTCCGGCCGCGCCTCTTGTCGGGGACGGCGATCGGCCAATTTCGTGATGCACACTAGCACTGCTGCAGACTGACACTGCAGATATTGCCCAACTCCACACCAGCTCTTGTCGGGACCTCTCTTCGGAGTTCAGTTGCCAGCTCGGACAGGGAGCTCCCCACGTCGGTCCGGAGAACTTTTGCATTCCCCTGATTGTGTTGCTTTTTTTGGCATCACACCGGCGACAATCATTGCGTGATCCCACGATGTGACGCCGGTTCTCACTAGATTCGTATCACACGGCAATCATCTTTCATCACCTTCAGGTGAAGACGTGGACGGCATGATGGGCAAGCAATATGGCCCAGCCTGATCCCCGCTCAAATCTACAAAGCACATTCTACAAAGCACATTCGGAACAAAGCAAAATGCAAGGGCAGCGCACGGGCGACGTAAGGGACGCCATTGCGTATACTCGGGCGACAGGTCAAAACTTTGATCGCTTTAGGAATGCCATGTCTTCAAAATTCGTCTACAACGTACGCATGAAAAGGTTTTTCTGGTATATGCACGAGAGGTCTAAGGTACGAGTTCCTGATTTTACCTATCCGATCTTGTCTATCTATGAAACATCCTTTTTTTCTTACTTCGATCTACAGTGGCTCGTAGATCTTGGGTGCGTTGGCACCCCTGAAAGAATGACGATCCTATCAGACCCTCCCCGCCAGTTTCTTGCGGTAGTCGTGGCCCCAGAGTAGAACACCCCAAAGAAGTATGCTGCCAACTGCCCACAGCACAGCAATTAGGGTCCCCATCCAGCCCATACCGATTGCGTCAATGATAGGCACTGCGGCTGCAACCGCACCCGCACCTAGAAAACAACGGAACATCGTGTTGGAAGCTGTGACTGTCGCCGCCCGCTTTACGTGGCAGTCGATCAGCAGTGTGACCAGGATGCTGGTGGCTCCCGAAATAGTATGCGCCGTGAAAAACAGCATAATGAGCGGTCCGGCCACATGGGTCCTGTAATTCATGACCCAGCCGTAGCCAATGATGCAGATGCAGGACAGATAAACCATCGGCAAGGTGATCTGAAGACGGGCCTTTTCGAGGGGAAATTCAAGGAGATCCATCTGGCGGTTGTTGGCCACCTCCAAGCCATGCTGCCGTCCTACGCGACGGAAATTCCAGTCCACGAATCGCCCAACGGTCCACCGTGAGGTGAGACTGCCGATGCCGTACGGGATATAGCACAGACCGATCTGGAGCGAGTTGTAGTTATACTTCTCCCCCAGCTCCGAAGACAAACTACTGAGGACAGCGAAGTATCCACAGTAGAGGATGGAGCAGAAGGCGATGATGGCGCCAGTCTCCTTTTCCAAGGCGATCTTGATGCTGTCTATTGGCGACGGTCGACGGGGCTTAGGCCCGTCTTCCAGCTCTTTCTTAGCCGCCTCAGCTCCCTCATAGGCTGAGGGCTCCACGATCGGAATGAGTGGACGGTTCCATCGCGGCGCGGGAATGGATCCATTTCCTACCACCATGCGGCAGGTTTCGGGGAAGCAGACAAGAATCAGGACTATCATCGCTGCGGCAAATATGGCTAGGAACCAGAAGATACTTTGCCAGTCAAGAAACTGGGCTAGGACACCTCCGATAATAGGTCCCAGTGCAGGTCCCATTGTTATTCCCAGCGACGAGTAGATCATGTATTTACCACGCTCGGCTCTAGTGACCACGTCGGCCGTGACAGCCATTCCAACGACCGAGATAGCACTACTTCCACAACTTTGGAAGGTTCTGAGGACAATGAGCGCAATGTAGTTGTCTTGTAGCGCCAGGCCGATATTGACGGCGAGGTACGTGATCAGACAGACGAGCATCGTGGGCCGACGGCCATATACATCGGAGATACTACCCGTCACCAACGGCGCAACTCCTTGAAAGATCTGATTCAATCTATGTTAGCTTATGGTGCACGTTGTCTCGCACCCGGATTGGTATCTTACCATGTACGTGGTGATGGTCAAGTTGATCTTGCTGACGGAGACATGCAAGTCGTCTGATAGTTGGTCGATGGCGGGATAGTAGATGTTTGCTGATACCGGAGCTAGGAAACCCACGATGGCCGCTATAGCGATGGTCATGATCTTCTTCCTCTCCGTCAACACTGTATGAGGCGGAGGAGGAGGTGGTGGCGCCTCTGAGGGCGTTTGAGAGAGTGGCTGGAGGCTGGCACTGCTGGAGCTGCCCCCCAGGGAGCCCAGCTCAATTGCGTGCACAACCTCCTGAGGACCTTTGTCCTTGACTTCTTGAGACATGATAAATTGACTTGATTGCCTTAGGGAGTGAACAATGGTTGGTAAAGGCCCTGGAGAATGCAAAAAGAATGACTTGGGTTAGCCAAAGCGTCAATCGACCGCGAAACTTGCCATCTCTGGCATAGTTATACTGGCTCTGTGCTGACATCCTCTCCTTGTCCGATGACATATGCGTCCGTCCGATCGATGCTTGTTTTCCGGAATTGGCAACCGGAGATCACATCAAGGATGGGATGTGTTACGTCCTGGCTAGTGTTTTCACGGCACGGGGCCTTTCGTGGGGACGTAAAATTCCGTCTGTTCCCGAGAAGTTCGGAGTCACTTTCTCAGCTGCGCTCGGTGTGATTCAAAGCTTCAACTTGCCGAAAGAGGAAATGGGGACCTTTATGGAAATAACCCTTAAGTAATGGAAACTAAAAAGTTGGGGAAGATCGCGGCTGAGCCCCAGGGGTGGCGTCAACGACGATCAGGGTGCAAAAGCAAGTTTAAATAAAACACGAAACTACGCCGAGAAGTAGAAGAAGAAGTTAAATGCGCAGCCGCGTCAGCGGCTGCATCGTTGATCATGCATCTCCACTCTGCAACAGCTAAACTATTGGCGGTGAAAGAAAGTCCGGGCTCGACCTGTCGATCATGTAGGGTGCGCAACCCTAATACTCACGCCATCGCGGACCTGCAGCTTAGCTTCGGCGCATGTTGGCCCATCAAAGGATGCATACCAGAACAGTATGCCAAGTAATTGCGACTGAAACCCCTTGGGTATCTATATAAAGCTCATCAGAATGAGTTTCACCATTGACCAAACAAGGCAGCCAGGACATCTTCTGATTCCGAAGGTCTTTGTAATCGTAATCACCCCTCACAATGCCGTCAATCCAGTTCATGCCTGAAAGGGATCCCCCGTCGGACGCAGCTTACCCTTCCTCAGCGGAACGGGCGGGAGGAAAGAATGTACACATTACATACAATGTGAGTCATTCCAAATCAATGCCTAAGCTCATGCTGACACCCTGAAAGGACACCCTTCGCCTGCTCAATGCGCTCAACACCAACTTTGCGTATCGTCAACTCCAGATCGAGACAGTGGACCAAGATGTCTTCATCCAGGACATGTTGAGATGGTGCCGTGCTGTGGGATATGAGGTCTGTAATATTCACGGAGAATAGTATATATAGCCACTGACAGCGATCTACAGAGTCCCAATTTCGATCCCTTGAATGCGGTGCACATTGCCGGAAGTAAAGGCAAAGGTTCCACCTCGGCGTTTATCTTCTCGATTTTGTCCGAGTACCAGAGTCACGAGGTATGCGCTGCAATCACTGCAGCTGAGCTGTCGAACAATTCCATCCACAGTCATCACTCACACATGTCACAGAACCCAATCAAGAAGCTGGGACTTTACACGTCACCTCATCTGCGCACTGTCCGAGAGCGCATTCGGATCAGCCCCTCCAACGATACCCCTTTCCACCACACGTCTCTGACCGAAGACCAATTCGTCCAGTACTTCTGTGATGTCTGGGGCCGACTCGGTCTGACAGAGGAGACCGCCAAGAGCGGCCCTCCCTTTGCCCGCTTCCTCACCCTGGTGGCCCTTCACGGGTTCCTGCAGGAGAAAGTCGACACCGCCGTGGTCGAAGTGTGCCTCGGTGGCCGACATGACTCAACCAATGTACTTCACAGACCTAGTGTCAGTGCAATCACGAGTCTCGCCCTAGAGCACACCGACGTTCTCGGCAACACCATCGAAGACATCGCCTGGGCCAAAGGCGGCATCATCAAGCCCGGTGTCCCGATCTTGACTATTCCCCAAGCTCCCGGCGCTACCGCTACCCTGCAGAAGATCGCCGCTGAAGTAGGAGCGCCACTGACCATTGTCTCCATGCACCCAGAAGTGGAGACCATGGAACTGGGACTAGCAGGAGACTTCCAGAAGATAAACGCTAGTTTGGCCATAGCCGTAGCGGCGACCCATCTACGCAACATGGGCTACTCGGACATTCCCGAGGACATCACCTCCGCTCCCCTACCGGAGAAATTCCGTCGCGCCCTGGAGACCGCCAGCTGGCCGGGCCGCTGCGAGACGCGGGACTGCCGGTCCGGTCGGTTCCATCTGGATGGCGCACACACCGTGGAGAGCATGGACCTGGTGGGATCCTGGTTCGCGAAGAAGGCTGCACCGCAGCAGGACTCCGCGAAGCGGGTCCTCATCTTCAACCAGTCCACCCGCGATGCTTTCACCTTGGTGCGCCACCTCCGGGATAGCATTCGTCAGACTGCGGGTAATGGGAGTAGCCTGGCTGAGAAGCCGTTCCATCATGTCATCTTCTGCTCCAACATCGCCTGGGAGAAGGATGAGACGGCGGATATGGAGCGCGCGTCCATGACCTTCCATGGTAATGTGGGCGAGGAGAACCTCAACCTGCAGGCCCAGCTGAACACTTACTGGCGCGGTATCCCCGGTGAGGAGTTGACGGGTATTACTGTCGTGCGCACCGTCGAGGAAGCTATCCGCTGCGCGGGGGGTGTTGGCAGCGTCGGTGGCCAGGGCCGTGTGCCGCCGCTTGTGCTCATCACGGGTAGTCTGCACTTGATTGGAAGTGCGTCGGAGGTGTTGGAGACCCTCGAAGAAGAGGGCCTTTACTTGTGAGAAGCTACGCGGGGTCTGCTGTGAACGAACTCATTATTTTATTTCGGATGTATTATATTAGGCTTTCCTTTGTTTAGAGAGATGTAATCATACAAAAGGGGCACGAATGGGGGGTAGTGATATGTATTCATGAATCATATTTCGGGTTACCGAGTGGAGGATCAATTGATATCATGGTTCTATGAACTTCGTGAAGGAGCGAATATGTTAGGGATTGAAATGGACTTCGTGTATCGTCTACAGATGGAGTCGAATCATGCATATGTACAGTCTCAGGGATGTATCTGAGCTTCATGACCACATTGGGACATGGTCTAATCTATGTTCTTGCCGAAGAAGAGCGAGTTCAAAAATGCGTCACTCCCTTTGGCCGACGGTCACGCCACTCGTCTTCCTTGCCCACGCTTAACCGCTCGTATCGCTGCAACATCTCGTGCAGCCCAGAGGTAGCTAACGCTTGGGGATCGTCCTGGAAGTGGTCCACGTAACTCTGTTCGCCGTCGATCTTGGTTAACCCCTCGGCGTATTTATCCCACCGGTCGGGCACCTGTGCCTTGGAGTCTGGCTGGAACAGCTCCTTGATCCCGGGCGGCACCTCCTCCGACTGCTGCACCCGATCGCCCTGGTTGCGGGACCGCACCGACAGCTTGAAGAGGTGGAAGAGGTGGCGTCCCAGTTGGGAGCGGCAGGCAATGATCGACATGGCGCTGGTCAGGGTGAGGAAGTCGCGGTCGAGGATATCAAAGGTGTCCTGGCCGAGGAGGGTGAACAGCGCCAGGTTGACCGAATACATGGCGAACTGGTGGGCATGCTCCATCCCGTATTCCACCCGTAGCTGCTGGGTGAGCGTGGCGATGGTTCGCGCTGACGCAAGGGCGATTTCCAGGGCGCTGAACCCTTTACTATCTCGGGGCGTACGCTGGTCACCCTCGGAGAGTATAGGGTGGAATCCGAATCGATCGCAGCAGAGATTTATTACTAGTGTATGGTAGCGCATTCTGTAGACAATGGGGCTGGTTAGCTCACTCATGCTCCGCCGCCTCGCGCATCGTGAGAGCACTTTACCTGAGCAATAGTAGATGCGGTGCCGGTCGCGTGGCCGGATCGAAGCACTCGGGAAGATTGCTTTCCCATGCACTGAGCCGATCGTAGAGTTCTTGCTTGCGCTGATCTGGCTCTGTGCCCGACCGATCGGTGCGGGAGAGACTCCAAGAAATGTCGCGGGCAATGAAGGAGAGCTTACATGCCTCATCGAAATATAGGTTTAGATATGACGGGCGAGATTTTTGAGACATTGGGTACGGTGCCCACATGTCGCTCGTGTTGTTGCCATTTCGGTCGATGGGCTCAACACTTACGGAGCTAACGCGGCTTGGCCGGAGGAAGTTGGTGTGGACGACCCTGCGGTTGTCCACTATCAGAATAGGCCATAGGACATATATTGCGTGACAGAGACGTGAAATCGCACTTACGTGTCTACCTGGAACAGGCCCCAGGCGGTGCGCTTGATGGAGACGATCATATCCTCGGACATTTGGGATACGGAGAGGCGTAAGCCGGTCTTCTTGTTGACGATGCCTAACGACTCTCCCATCTCGATGGCGCGATGCAGCATGGTGTATCCCCAGTCATTGTGGCCCGACAAGGAGTACCTGGTGGATTAGAAACATACGGTCAGGGCCTCCGGTCGACGCGTCAGGGCGCCCAGGTTGGTTCGAGCATACCTCTCATACAGCAATAGATGCGCCTGCAAAGATGCCAGACGAATGTCGCCTCCCTTCTCAAACTGATGCGATTGGAGATGGCGTTCCGCTTCTGCCAGGAAATCGGCACCTTTGGTGCGGACATCACCGGGAACAGTGTAGGCTTCAGTGTATTGCGAGTAGTACTAGAGAGCCACGCAATGCCCATAAGTTATCCAGTCTGCTCGAAGAGACACACAGCAGGGTGGGCTGGACTTACGCAAGCGTTGGCCAACAGGGCGTTAACCAAGAAGGGGCTGCAAAAGTCGGATTCGGTGTTGCCCATGGCCATGTGCTTAATAAAGGTTGCGCTGTCGAAAAAGGCGAAGAAGGGATAGTCCCAGATTAGGTAGAGGGAGACCAGGTGGGAGACGAGGTCATCGTCGTCGGTGACGGAAGTCCAGGGTTTGGCAGGGACGCGATAAGGAGCATTACTGCACAAATACCGGATGTCCATAATTTGAGGGCGAAAGCGCGGGGGCTCACTCTCGACCTCAATACCGCGACGCAGGCCCTCTAGGCGGTGCAGGGCGTCCTCCTGATCTGGGGTCGAGGGCTGGGCAGCGGCCAGGGCGCGAGTGAGGTAGGCCCGCACCTCGTCCAGCGAGGCATGGTTGCGGATCATATCGACGAGGGTCGGAGTGTGATCGGGGTCGATGGATCGGACGACGCGGAAGAGATCGTGCAGCAGGTCCTCATGATAGTTACCCGAGCTGATAGCATACTCGGCGGCGGGTTGTTGGGCGCGATCGGCCCTGGCTGGGGCAGTCTACGAATGTATAAGAGACTAGGACTAAGGAATGGGCGATTCAGTGTGGGGGGAAGGGGAGGAGGGAGGGCGCGGCAGGGAACCCAAGCACGTACCTCGGATTTCTTTCTGCGCATGGACATGGGGGCACGACGGCCGGTTTATCAGGAAGAGGAGGTAGTGGGAGAGGTGGTTCTCTGGGAAGATTCGAGAAGGGGTTGGTTTCCGGGGAGAGAGAAAAGGAATATGGAAGGGTTCCTGAGTTTGGCCGGCAAAAAATCTTGGGCGATCGGAGGAGAAGTCGGTGATGATGATGTTGATTATGATGATATTGCTGGCAGGCAGAAGGACGATGATGATGCCATGATGACATAAAGGGAACCCACAATTCATCCGTTCGCCCATGCTTGGGAGGGAGATGCGCGAATGGGGATCATAGCCATGATGAATTGCCAATTCAGCAGAAGTCTGAAGCAGATCATTTCATCAGGAAGGTTTGTGGGCACTAGAAGACGAGAAGGTAATGGGGATGTATAGCGATGAGGAAGATGTAGTCGAGAAGTAGAGGAGGAGAGGAGGAGAGGAGAGGAATCGATGAAATAGGAAAGTGGAGACGAGAGGGACTGCTGAGGTAAGCTCCGATGCGGGGAAGCTTCAACCGGACACAAACACAATCTTATTCAATTTCACATCTTTAGACACAGAATACTACTACTACTGCTTCCTTGCCTAACAGTGTCAAAGACACCAGAATTGTCATGAAGCACTCGATTTCAGTTGACAGAACTACCATTGGCCAGATAATAGGGTCTTAAAAGGAGGAGGTTTGCGCGGTAGAGCCTCGGATCGGCCCTCTTCCCTAATCTCTATACATCACCCACCACTGCTACGATGCCAAAGAATCATTCTAACTCCTGATCAACCATCCCCAGGCACTCACAGTACCCTCACATAACATCCTAGTCCCCGTCCAGCCATGTCAACCACTGCAAGACGGTCACACACCATTCTCTCCCTCTTCTGGGCCCGCTGTGTGCGGGGAGGGGAAAACATGGCGATGGTCCCCTACGCGGCATTTCTTGCCTCTTTATGCGAGAGGTGAACTACGGGATGAGCTCCTCGGGGGTAGGCGTGGGAGATAAAGGCTTTGGACTTATCTAGTTCGCGATGACGGGAGCGCTAGACGGACGGGGAGGCTGTGTCTCGAAGGATTACGTCCCCAACGCGCTAGTTCGCTTTCCCTCTGTGAACTGATTATTTTTTTCTGTTCTTCCCTCCGTCTGTCTCACCGGCCAGCCTCAATCATGAAGGAACAGGCCGACACCACCACCGCGGAGTCTCCTCCCCCTCTCTGGAAAGTGCGCATGCCTTTTTGGCACCGCGTGGACTGCTTCATCCGACTATGGCTGCTGAAATCCCTGGCCGCCATCTACTTCTACTGTCGGCGCCTGGTACGACAGCCGCCCCGTCGCTACCAGCCCACTTTCGTCCGTCGCTATCCATCTCGTCCCATGCTCAACACTCGCATCTTCTTCCCGCCCAACTATCGCGCGGGTGAGCGCCTGCCCTTATATCTGAACATACATGGTGGGGGGTTCGCCGTGGGGGATGCCCAGGTGGATGACCGCTTCTGCGTCGCCTGGGCCGGGCGTACCGGCATGCTCGTCGTGAGTCTGGACTACCGCCGCGTACCCCGACATCCCTTCCCCACCGCCACCTACGATCTAGTCGCCCAGATTAAGGACGTGCTGGCGGATGAGTCCCTGCCCATTGATCCGGAGCGCATCACCATTGGGGGGTTCAGTGCGGGCGGAAATCTGGCCTTGTCGGTGTCGCAGCTGCCTCCCCTGCATGGACGGGTCAAAGCCGCCGTCGTCTACTATCCGATTGTCGACTTTGGCCATCCACCGCCCGTCAAACTAGCCTCCCGTCCCTACACGGATGGCCCCTTGGACAAGATAGGCATGATGGCGTGGGCTCTGGACTGGGGGTATGTCTGTGTGGGACAGAACCGACGCGATCCGCTGCTAAGCCCCTGGTACGCCGACCCGTAAGACCTGCCCCCGCGCATCTACATGATTGCCGCGCAGTGGGATATGTTGCGGTTGGAAGGCCAGCAGATGATCCACCGTCTGGCGGGCTTGCACGACAAAGAGGACCAGGAAGCGCCCTTCGAGACGTCTGCGTATAAGTGGACCTTGGCCCGAGGGTGTACGCATGGCTTCACGCATGGCTTCACGCATGGCCAGGAGGGGAATGCGGCCGAAAGAACGTACCGGAAAAAGGTTTGCGAAGACATATATGGCCAGGCCCATGAGTGGCTGAAGAGTGTGTTGGCATAGAAGTCGTGGTCTGGTTGAAGAGCATCAGTAGATATTAGACATTAGACACAACGGGAATATTAGAGACTATAGACAACATGTTATGTTGAGACTGGTCTATGCAGGAGGGCCAGCAATCTGCAAAAGAATTAGCGTGTCCCGATATCGTCCTATGCTACAACAGTAGCAGAGGTCCCCATCAGGCTGTCGGGAACAGGGGAGCTCGATTGGCTGATCGCCATGGTGTAGAGAGGAAACATGGAAATGGGAAGGATGGTTATGTTTGTGCCATCCGCACTATTCAAAGGCATCGCCCATGGCAAACGTGGTGGTGGCGAGTTACAGCATACAGCGAAAGTTCTGGTCGCATAGCCCGGCGGCATCGGGAATTACTTTTCTTCACCCCCGCCTTCCCCCAACACGGCAATCGGGGAATTGGGGTACTAGCCATGTGCAACCCCCCCTGCTTTGGGATGACGCGTTTCGCGCGGGAAACTGATGGCCGATAAGCATGAAGAGACAGCATACCACACCGGGAACCCCTGCTGGGGGTCTGCAGTACCGGTTTCACCGTCGTCTCCCTTGCGCTCTATCAGGCCCAAAAGATGGAATATCCATGGCGTTCCGAGACGTCCGGGTTGGGATCGACATCACCCCGAAGCACCAGCGGAGCCGACGCGGTGTTTGTGTGTAAGATGACTTGCGTCGGGAAGCGTGGAGCTACTGTCAACCCAACAACAAACAAAGGGCATGACGCTAAAGTTAGGAGGGGGGAAACATTGGCGGGCCGATGGGGGCAGACGTATCGTATCTTATCTAGGGAAGGCAAAGTCGCGAGGGGGAAAAGATGGATCCCTGGGAAAAGATGTCCGAAACAGGCAAGGCGGCACTGGATAGTGGCGGGTCCTAGCGTGTCTTACGGAGGAGCTTTGGCCTTCGTCGGATTGGCAATGCCCCTCGCTTCTATCGGTCGGAGAACGGGTGGCGCGTATGGTCTCTTGGTTGGGGGGTTTTCGCTCATGGGGGTGAAAGAGACTCGAGATAGAGGTAGAACTCGCATAGGGACTGCCAGGTTGACCGCGGATTGAAAGGCGGGACGAGCAGTCAAAGGGGGACGGATGAGGAGAATAGACGAGAGGAGAAGAGGACGATGAGGATGAGGGTGAGGGTACTTTCTTTTGTGCGTGCGGGGTTGGTCGGGACTCCTCTTCCCTGTCTCTGTCTCTCTTTCGCTATGTCTTGTCTGTCTCTCTCCTCTCGGTTGCCGGTTTCGACGTCTCCGCTCAGGTTGTGTGTGAGTGGGTAGGTAGCCATACTATCTCCATCGAATCAAAAGGGCAATCAAGACTATTCTTGGTATTAGATATTCACGCAGGTTTGGATCGGTTCATAGGTTTCCTAAATTCCACCATGACGAAAATTCCGCATCTCCGCCGCCCGGACCGGAGTTGGCGTATCCCAGGGAACTCTCCATGTCGCCCAGTGGAGCCGAGTCGGCCCAGAGCCATGGAGTATTGACCATCAGACTGTCAATCGGCGCAATGAGGGTGTCACGCACTACAGAGGTAGCTGCTGCGTTAGCTTTGGTGGTCGCTGGCGTCCGATACAGAGGCAGAGGCACCGCCTGACCCCCGTCGGCGGTGTTGACCGTCACCTCCGGCGAGGTTGTGACAATCACCTCGAGCGTCGAGTCCTCTTCGGAGCCTTGCCCGACCGCCGATGCTGCCAATGAGGAATGCAGCAGGCGGCCGTCTGCCCTCCCGCCCGCCGACCGATCCGTGCCGTTGAACTGTAGGATGTCCCACATGAGTGGGATACTCAAGTAGATCTTGGACGGGAGCCAGGTCTCATAGTCGACATTCTCCGAGCCGGATGCAATGCGCATCATCTGGTCGAGGATGCGATGCTATAAAGAAAGGAAGTCAGCTGTTCATTCTGCAGACAGGGGGGGGGGGGGATGATCACCTACCAAGCCCTCGCAGGCCCGCGATGTAGTGGCAAAGGTCCTCAGGAACTGGCGGCACTTGGCATAGTCCACCCGCGACTTATATTTCAGACGGGGGTCCCCGGCACAGCAGTAGTATAGCTGCACAGTGGCGGCAATGGCGGCGACATGGGCGAAAAAGGGGTCGGACAGGCGTACCTCCTTCTCCACCACCATGTCGATCAAGCGCACAATCCAGGTGGCGTGCAGCACCACCAGCTCCGAGGACCGTCGCCAGAAGCTGTTCGGGATGGCCAGGTTGGGGTTCTGGCGGGAGGCCATGATGTACAGAAACGGGTGATTAAGGACGGTGAGGATGGCATGGTACATGAACTGCAACTTCAACCAGGGTACCCAGTAGACCAGTTCATAGGATAGCTCCTCGCCAGTACGCTCGTAGAACTGAACGTGATCATAACGATGGCAGAGGGGCGTCCGGTTCTCGATCTCCGTGAGGTCGGACAGTATCATCGAGTACATTGACTCATGCCGCCAGGGCTCCTTCATTTTGCTGCGCGCACAGTCCGATACATAGCCCCTGACATTACTCCAGACCCAGCCGAATTGAATGCTCATGTTCCAGATTCCTGTATCGTGGGCGTTCGTGCACCCCACGCTGTCCTGCGGCATGGGTGGCGGCGGAGGCCCCGTCGCCTTGTGGCTGTCCTGGTCGCCATCCGTCGCGAAATATGGCGGGCGCCAGATCTCGGTCGATGTGCGTAAGATGCCCGTCTGTCGGCCGTACGATTGCTCGAGCAACTGCAGACTCCAAAACAGCCGCTTCTTTCGCTCCATATGTGGATCCTCGGGGGAATAGGCGACCGCAACATCTAGCATGGCCGCGCGACAGAGCTGGGACGCCAGGCCTAGGTAGAACTGTCCGAGGTGCGTATTGCCATCTGCGGCAACGGGACATACAATTAGATACTATTACTTTCCACACTACTTGGCCACTCCGGGGGTAGACCTACCGATGAAAGAAGAATAGGACAGCAGACACAAACTTTCGATCGTGGCCAGCTCCACCGTCCCATTGGCAACGCGCAGCATGATGAGAGTCCTTGCATCGTCGGCATAGTGCTGGCCCTGCTCCTGCTCATGTAAGTAGCGCAAGGTGAGTGCCAACAGACTACAAATCAGCTCTTCTGGGAGAGAGCCAGGCTCGCCTGGCCCATCAAAGTCGAAACACCACACCGGTTGCCGGTGACAGTGCTCCACGTAGAGATTGATAGCTCTGGCGATGACCGAGGGTGAAGAGTGAGGGGTCGTGCCCTCGCCTAGTCCCGATTGTACAGGATAAGGGGTGTGAGAATCGCGGCGTCTCGGAGATGGTGGCGATAGCTTTGTCTCGGGACCTGTCGATCGAGCTAGTCTGCGAGAATTGGTGAGGATATTGTACTGCGGCCAACAACGCGAGGAGAGAGAGAGAGAGAGACCTACATATTGCCATTTAGAATGAGATTGACCTTTTCTTCCAGCTCTGCCAGCCGATCTTTCTGAGGTGGAGCATCAGCAACCGCGAAGTCGAGGGAAGGTTGGGAGAACCCACGGAAGGACTGCCTATTGACGTCCTCGTGACGGGCGTATACGAGCACGGCTGGTTAAGCCGCACACAGCACGAGCAGGCCGGTTTCTCGCCTGGACACCGCGTTTTCTTCCTTCTGTCAACGTGGGTGAGTAGCTGTTTCTCCGCAGATAGATAGGAATTTCTCTGGCATCTTCGCACCTGCAATTCAAACAAGCATGATTCGACCGTAATCTCCGACGCTGTCCTTCTGGTGGCGTCATGTTATGTTCCCAGGATAAGTCAAAAGAGATGATGATGATGATGATGATGAAAGAGCTGCTGGGAGGGGAGGGGAATGAATACGGGACGCGATGCCCGCGGGAACAAAAGAGGGGAGGGAGAAGGAGGGGGATCGGAGGAGGGGATTGGGATTAGAAAAGGAAGGAACGAGGGAGGAGAGTTGGCGCGCGGGCATATACTACTACTATTAGTACTATTACCACCACTAATATTAGGGTGTCCACTACTATCAGTAGTACTCACTTCCGAGTACGCTGAGGGCTTGGAGGGGATAAGCAACAACCAATAATAATACACATAGATGCAGGGTGTAAGGAGGGGGAAAAAAGAAAGAGGGTATTGTACTAAGTATGTCTGTCAGTACCAAGTCGGGTTGGGTTGGTAGTAGTGGAACCTGGGAACTGTCACTGCTTAGTTGAGGGACTGAAGGGTTATCTGCTATCTACTACTAGTAGTACCAGATTAACTATCGGCTATACCTGGACGGAGGGACAGCAAGCAAAAAAGGTGGATCTGCCGCTCTCCCCGGAGGGTCCAGCCAGACAACGTTAACATTCAGTCCAACGTACTATCTCCCGGTGTGTGTGTGTCGATGGGAGAGATAAGCCGAGTCTGGTCCTATTCACGTATGGCTGGGCTATTCATAGTACCTAGTAGCAGCTAAGTAGTACTTACGAACTCATGGCCACCCTCGCATAGTTTGACCCAATACACTCCCTTTCCATGGCCAGTGGTCAGCTGGGCCCCGTCAGTCCTTGGGAATCCCCGCCTGGACCCGTCACTCTGTCCAAGTTTTGGTGCATCTGTCTAGTACTTGCAGGGGATTGAAGGTTTAAACATTCCAGACCAGGCGTGGGAAGGGGAAGCACAAAAAAAGAACTGGGACTGGACCCCCTCTGACTAACATCATCATTAAACTTCGACTTTTCTTTGTCCCAGTACTTGGTTGTATCCCGGATGGTCTTGAGAAAAAAAAGAAAAAGTCCGGTGAATTTCCCACCGGTCAGGTGAGCGCACGTGGTCTAGTCTGGTTCCCTTTCCTCTTCAGGCTGCTTTTCCCGTCTTGGCCATCCTTCTCTTTTCTACTATCTCCCCTCTTCGCCTTCTTGATAACCCCGTTTTACTTATCTAGTCGCAATACGCGACAGAAATGCTGCACCATGATTCACTTGAACGTCATTAAAGATGGGAAGCATGCTAAAATAAGAAACTATTCTAATTCGGTACAATATCTCAAATCCAAACAAACAAAGATCGCTAACCTGATTTGCCGAAAACAATGTGTCAAACTCGTCAAGATGAATCATAGCTCAACTCTCTCTTCTCTCCCAATTGCAGATCCCCTTCATGAAACCTTTTCCCCCTCACCAGGCGACCGCCGCCGGTGGCTGCGCTCCGATATTCGAGCAGCATTCCTTACCCGCCCCACACCCCAGGTTGGCGCAGAATTGCATGTCCTGCGCACTCGTCGCCGCCTCCTTCGGCACCCGCTGACGGGCGGGCCAGTACTCCTGTCCCTCCTTCTCCTCGCGCTGGAAGTGCTCCGTCACCACGTCGCGCACCACCTTCTGGAAATACAAGGGGCCCTTCTCCATCTTCGGGTGCAGCTCGCCGTTCACAAACACTCCCGCATTCAGGTTCTTCTGGGTCAGGTCGCACAGATACTTGTCCTCGGACATGATGCGCTTGTACATGGTGTTGATCAGCTCAAAGTCCTCGTCGCTCGAGTTCTTGTTCCGGTACACCTCGTACTTCATCACCGACCGGGTGGGGGAGAGCGGGACGAAGCGTTGCATGAAGAAAAAGTGTGGCCTGCAGATAAAACGTTAGGGGTGGAACTGGTGGGGGTTAATTAGACAGAGGCACACTTACGAGACAGTCATGGAGGCATTGGGGAAGTAGTATGTGCTAGCGATGCGGAGCCCGGCCGCGATCTGGTCGGGCTTGGAGTGGGCATCGTGGATGATGCCGCCATCCTTGGTGTCGACCGAGTAGGTGGCCAAGTCGGCCAGGGCGGGGATGTCGGGGTGCGTAGTCGCGCAGTGGTAGCATTCGTTGTAGTTGTCGGCCAGGATCTTCCAGTTGTAGTCGCCCTCCTGCTCCCAAGTGTGGTCAAAGGTGTAGTCCTCCCACTTGACATCGGCAAAGCGGGACTGCAGGTCGATGCCCTTGAAGTCATCGTCCCACGAGATCTCGGGCTGCTCACCGGCATCCAGGTTGACCCAGATGAAGCCGTTGGCGTCGAGGTGCACGTGGATGGGGAGGAGGCTGTTCTTGCTCTTGTCGAAGCCGTCGAGGTCCTGGTAGCCGGGGGCCTTGGCCAGCTTGCCATTGAGGCCGTAGGACCAGCCATGGTACTTGCAGGCGAAGATGCGGGCGGAACCCTTCTCCTCGGTCACCAAGGGGAAAGCGCGGTGGCGGCAGACGTTGTGGAAGGCGTTGATGTTGCCCTCCTTGTCGCGCACCAGGACAAAGTTGAAGCCGGACACCTCGTACTGCAGCCAGTCGCCAGTGTTGGGGAGACGCAGCTTGTGAGTGGTCAGCAGCCATTTGCGGGAGAAGATGGCGCGTCGCTCCAGCTCGAACATTTCCTGTGAGGTGTACCACGAGGCCGGCAGGGCTCGCACGGCCTCATTGGTAGGGGCAGTGGGGGTCTCGCGGAGACCCAGGTAGTTCCACAATGCGGAGGCCATGGTATTAGACCAGATGTGAAGAATAGAATGGTGGTTCTTGAAGGTTTTTGAGAGAGTCTGGAATTGGAGGCTCTTGAGTGGAGATGGATCTTGGTGGTTGTTGTTGTTGTTGTTCTACCAAACTTGAGGACGAGACGAGATACTGTCTTTATAGCCAGTTGGATATCTGGTTATCTCTATCATCATGCTTCATTCCAGTCCAACCTCTTCTTCCCTGACAGCGGCTCCATAGCCGTCCACCGGCTCCAAAGCGATCAGGAGGTCGGGGACGGAGCCTGGATTCTCTGGCACCGGAACGCCTCGTGGCGGCGATGGCAGCCGTGGTTCCTCGTCTGGTCAATGCATGGGACTAGCATCCAGCCCTATCCCAGCTCACGACGCTATCGTGGTGCTGATACAGAGGTATGTTCTCTGGAGATAGACACGGCCGGTAGAAGGGACCTTTGACCGATCCGCCGGCTGGCAATCAGATACGGAGCGATAAGGGAGCTTTGACCCGGACAGATGAAACTGTGATGGAGGGCACAAACAGAGCCCGCCCCCTTACATGCATAGCCCGATGGGGAAGTCAAGCCCCAGATCTTCCCTACAGCAAGATTATTATTAGTTCACCTTAATCTTTTGACTGAATGATTTCCGGTCTAGGGAAAGCTTGAGCTGTCAGCCGGCCGAGGAGCTGCCAGTTCACCAGTGCAGTTTGTCCACTTGGACTGCATGATCAGTTCTCCACCACGGAACCGGTCCACGGTTAGTCTCTCCCATTACCATTCATCGCTTCAAGCCAATTCCCCCCACATCCACGGATTCCTTCACCCAAACAAGAAGGAATCCAACTGCTGCAGGCGCAAGCCAAGACGGACTCGGTTCGGTTCCCGGTTCCCAGCCGGGGCAAAACAACCGTCCAATGCCTGTTCTCAAACACATTAAGAATCTGGGGTCTGGCCTAGGGGGGTCCCATGACACTACATTCTGATTCCTGGATATTCTCTTGTTAGTATAGTCATGGACAAGACACAGTCCATCGTGATCGTGGGAGCCGGCGTCTTTGGTCTCTCCACAGCCTTGTACCTGGCCGAAGATGGCTTCTCCTCCATCACGGTGATGGATCGGTCCATGCCGCCCGTCCCCGATGGATCGAGTAATGACATCTCGCGCGTTATTCGCTTCGACTATGGCGATCCCGTCTATGCGAAGATGGGCCGTGATGCCTACGAGCTTTGGAATACCAGTCCCGACTATGCGGACTCCTTCCATCACACCCCCTGTGTCTGGACGGCACAGCAGTCAGGGCCTGCCGACCTCGTCTCGGCGGGCGGATCCGACTTCATTCGCAAGACCAAGAAGATCCTCACGGATATGGGCTGCGAATGGCACAATCTTGACAATGTGGCCGCCCTGAAAGATCGTTTCCCCACGGTGTCGGGCACTCCCATCGGAGCAGGCTTCGAGGGATTCTACAACAACGCTGCGGGCTGGGCCGATGCGGGCCTCGCCATCACCGGCCTGCGCGATCGCTGCATCCGCGCGGGCGTCTCCTTTGTCACCGGTCGCCATGGACATGTAACGAGCTTGGAGAAAGGGTCGGATGGCGGAGTGACCGCCGTGCGAACCATCGATGGCGGGCGCATCACCGCCGATCAGTTCATTCTGGCGACGGGAGCATGGACCGCCAGTTTGGTGCCCTCATGGAATACCATGGTGGCCACCGCGCAGATCGTCGGGTTCGTGCGGCTTACCCCGGAGGAGGTGAAGCGTCTGAAAGACCTCCCCATCATCTTCAATCTGTCTACGGGATTCTTCAGCTTCCCGCCTCATGAGCAGACCGGATACTTGAAGGTGGCTTGTCACAGTTTCGGCTACACCTTGTCCTCGTCCAACGTTTCCTCCCCACCCAGCGAGGCCATCTCACAGCGTGCCAACTTCATTCCGGAGGAAGGCCGTCAACGACTGCTGGCTGGATTGGGTGAGATCTTACCCGAGTTGGTGTCGCGAGGTTTTGAGAAGACATGTCTCTGCTGGTACAACGAGACCCCAACGGGTGACTTTATCTTTGACCGCCATCCCGAACACCAAAACGTATTTGTCGCGACCGGCGGTACTGGGCAGTGAGTATTCCCACAAAAGCTATGAGTGTCAACTACTCCGTACAATTACTAACGGGGGACTAGTGCATACAAATTCCTTCCGGTGATCGGCAAATACATTGCCAAGGCCTTCCTGGGCCAACTGCCCGCCGACCTGGCGGAACGGTGGAAGTTCCACACCGACTACCGGTCGCGGGCGCAAGATGACTTGTTCACAGGCGCCAGTGCTCGCGGCGGCGGTGATGGCAGTCGGGGTGGTCCTGGTCGTCGGGAGTTTACAGCGCAAGAGCGAGACAGTCTCTTGACCTTGACGAATGCTCTGGTTCGGAGACCGGCCAAGATATAGATGGGGATTGCCAGTGTTTAGTTACATAAAACTTGTTGTGGACCCTTTAGCTTCTTGTTATTTAGCGTGGTTGAAGTACGTACTCGATCTATTGTATCTATTGGGTAGGGGTTTGGCCACCATTTTAGTTGGCAGGCCTTGGTTCCAACTATAAATATATCCTTCTTCCGAGTTCCCTGTTGCCGATGGAGTTTGAACAAACCAGACGTATACTCCTCTACCACGTCCTCTGCACTATATTACCTCACGCATCCTTTTTGGGAGGATCCCGCACCATAGGCGCCAAAGCACCGGTATCCCCAAAGACATGGCTACGATCCTCGAAGCCAAACCGTTCATAGACGGGCTTGCCAGCCTTACTGGCATCAATATAGACCGGCACGCCTGCCTGGTCCGCAGCGCGACAGCCCCATTCGAGAAGCAGACGAGCGGCACCCATCCGTCGGTAATCAGTGTGAGTCGCGAGCATATCAAGATCTACCACGTCCATTAGCCACACCAACCCCTTCTCCAAAGCTCTGTAGACGAATGGCTTGAACATACAATAATTCGGTCTCCCCCCACCCACCAACGCAGCCCGGAACGTCTCCAGCTGCTTGACAAAGGCATCATTATGCACCGGATCCATGTCCGGATGCCAGGCCGGCCAGCGAGCACCGCGCTCTTCCGCCGTCTGCAGGGACCATTTGGCGTAGGCGACGATGCGGTTATTCTGGGAGGTGTCGACAACCTTGAGGAATTTCTCTGCGGGTTTGTGTCGCATGTCGTGCTCGTTGGCTTCGTGCCACCATTGTCGCACGCCCGGGGTGTCGGGCCAGATGGTCAGCATGGACTCGGTGGTGAAGGCATTGTACCAGAGGTCAGTGAGGGCGGGGAGGTCCTCGAGAGTGGCGGGTTCAAGGCGGAGGGGGGAGGTGTTGGGAGATGCCATGTTTAGATTTATACAATAGAAGAGTTGGTGGTATTGAAGGGTCTGAGAAATATTATCCCTGTCGGAATAGCTTCAATCTGGCGGGGAGAGAGATGGATGGATGGATGATGACTGACTCGCGTGCACGGATCACCCACCGCCCGGGTTGGTTGGAGGGAAAAGGGATCGATCGGCGGGGATCCACTGCCCCAACTGTTCCTCTCCGTCTCTCCTTTCTTCATCCTTCTGACGAATTCCTTCCGTGGCCCCAGATCGACATTATGTTCTAAATCTGTTTTCATTTTTAATGTTATAGAATTTCAGTTTTGAGTTCCTTGCCATGGAGGTTGCCATGGAGGTTCCCTGGCTGTGGTCATGGCCCGGCCCGCCGTCCAAGGTTAACTAATATGCATTTACCAACAACTAACTCTCCAACAAACTTATCGCCCATCCAGACTGGTCGCTACTGCTGCTCCCCTAAAACTACCACCCATGGCCATGCCGGTGACCCCTAACAGAATACTTATTTTCCATAGAACGGCAGGAGCAGGGGAGGGATGTATTCAATCCATGCATGTACGTTGGATACAATCACATTAGGGGGTTGATGATAGGTGCATCCACGGTAGGCAGCAGAGGTAGGTGCCTGGCGACAGTGAATGAATGAATGAATGCCTCGACAGTATATAGACGCGCTCTGCGTTCCCCAACAGCCTGGTGAAATCACCACATCGAAACTCTCTCTCTCTCTCAACATGTCCATCGCTTGTCTTCCCATTGAGTTGGTGAGGAAAATCTGCACCTATCTGCAGCTACCAGCCTGGTGTGCGCTTCGACTGACTTGTCGGTCGCTCTACAACATCACTCTCGATTCCTTTCGACGCGTCTTCCGCAGCATCTCCGTCTTGTGCACCTCCGGCGGACTGTGCCAACTCTATGAGCTTTCCATGCACGAGGGTATTCGCCAACATGTCGAGGAGCTCAGACTTGTCCTGGAGCTATTCAATGAAGAAACAGCGACAGCAGCAGCCTGAGGAGGAGTACTCAGCTTCAGCCCACATCTCGCAATACTATCAGGATTTTCACTTCGTCATGAAAGATCATCGACCCATACTGAAATCGCCGACTGCCATCCGCGTTCTCCGACACTGTATGAGCCGTTTTGTCAACTTAACTACAGTCGGGTTACGATATCGCCCTGCCGAAGGAAGTCGTGACTCGATATGTCTAGGCTGGCGCAGTCTAACAGACGACCTCGGCTTTCCCCCCAAGTTCCCCAAGGAACTCCGCCGGCATGAATTGATCTCCAGAGAGCAGGATCGAGCTTTCTGCGTCCTTGTTAGAGCCCTGATTGCGAGGGGTCAGAACGTGAAGCATCTGTCAACCTGTGGCAAGCCTTGCTATGGCGTGGCGCTTGCCAGGCTGAAGCTGACTCAAAGAATGGACATCCTTTGTTTCCCTCATGAAAGGCTTGTTGAACTTACACCTTTGTCTGGAGGGAACACAGGAGGGCGACCATCCAGAACGTCCCCGTGAGCTGTTGACAGCCGTTGGCCCGACTCTCGAGGTACTACGGTATCAATTCGACTCCATCAACGCGTCTTACCCCCCTACAACTTTCCCCATTCTTGAGATCTTCCCGGGAATACAGTTTCCACGCCTGCGCGAAGTCCGTTTGCAGAATCTAGTGGTCCCGCCGGAAGCCCTGATGGAATTTCTTCGTGCTGTCTCGCCTACCTTGACCGACCTGACTCTGAAATCAGTCAGTCTAGCCCAGCCTGACGATCCGTACGGCCCTTTGCCCCAAGAAGACTCCCCAGAGGAGACCAAGCACCGTAGCGTAACGTGCTGGAAATTGCAGATCAGACATACACCTGAGGCCCGCCACATAATCAGGATACGGCTGCTTATGACGTTGCGCGAACCGGCCTTTCCTTCCACGGTTGGGTGAACCAGCTACGTTTAAAATGACTGCTAACTTGCTGGCCAGTATGCTAGAGCACTCTTTACTGTCAGTAGCTAGGGTGTGTGCGTGTGTAGTGGTGTACAACTAAGAAACTATCACCTTTCAACGATCGTGCACTACAAGCTTCAACCATCATAAGTACATACTAGATACATGTATAGATAGCTTAATTGTTGCCTTATCTCTCAATTACAAGCCCGCTGGCAGTTCTTGAATCGACAAGTAACTAAGCTTATCATACGAATCAGTCTAGACTAGCGATGACAACTAATCTAGGAGATAGACAGTACGCTCGAGTGACCATTCTCTCTCGGACCTTCACGGCATACAATAATTATCTTATGGTAGACATGCTCATAAAGATAAGCTTTTCAGATAGAAATTACTACGTAGACGATGGTGGAGGTCATCGTATCTCCGGCTGCCGGATGCCCGGAGATCCAACGGACGGCCGGTGATGGCAGGCAAGCCGGCAGAGTCTAGTATCTTCCTGCAGGATGGTTAGCGTGGAATCCTGGGCTGCAATAGCAGGGTTACTTGGTGGATTATTATCTAGGGTTATCTATTTGACGCAGAGATAATGGGCCGGGATTGTGGGTCGGGAGTCGGGGGTCTGGTGTCCGTTATGCACGATAACAATGCAACTTACCGGTTCTGGTCCTGTTGATTATTTGACATGTGACATTGGCTAGCAGATTCCATTCTGCTTATTGATATGTGGTTTTTCATGTTATGGACTTATCTACTCTGCGGTGGGTTGTACATTCATTGCGATAGGGTACAGTAAATATCTCCGTAAAGGGCATTAAATTATGTACCGTAACTAGTATGCTCATGATCAAGAATACACTTTTCGTCGAATAAAAATAGAATAAGATACATGGCTCGTTCAACTCATCGAATGCTTATTTCACTGCGTCCTCTGCCTCTCTCCGCCCGCCGTGCCCATGCTAGATGTGTCGTACCCGTGGGACTCGAGATAAGCGCGGAAGCGAGCATCCTCGTGCGTGATGGTATCCTATTTTCAGTTAGCACTGGCACCTATCGTCAATCAGATCACATTGACTGGTTACTTACCTGACCTATATGAGGCAAGCAAAAGAACGCCAAAAACGCACTAAAGATACACAGAGCACTAGACACGTAGAACGGATCCTGGCCCTGGCGGATCTTGTTCGGGGCGTTCTTGACAATCACCGGGAAGACGTAGGTGCCCACGAACGCGCCAATCTTGCCCATGGCGGCGGCGGTGCCGTAGTATTGACCGCGGATGGGTGTCGCGCAGGTCTTGGCGGCACAGAGACCGATGTTGTCGCCGGGGCCGACTTCGCCCATGGCGAGGAAGATACTGTCAACCGGGTGGTTAGTGCGAAGTGGGACAATAGGGGACCGGGGGTGAACTCACCCGTAGACAACGACAAACGCGGCCACGTAGTGAGGGGTATCCAGGTAGGGATAGCATCCGGTCATGATCAGGCCGATGGCTCCTTGCACGAATACTCCGAATGCTAGTGTGTTGCGCGGACCGTACCAATCGCTCAGGAATGCGCCCAGAGCAGATCCGGGCAGGTAGAAGACGTTGATTAGGGTATTCCAGCCGAGTGTCTGCCACATGGGCGCGCTATCGCCGATGATATCGGCCAGCCAGGCGGACGAGTAGATACTGAAGGAGTAGGTGGAGAAGTCGTAGATGAACCAGATCAAGGATACGACACACTGGACGAGTTAGCGAATTCGAAATGATACGGTTTGCCTGAAGTTCCTGGCAGGCTTACCCAACGCTTCCAGTAGAATCTGGTGATATCCAGGTTAGTTATGTCCTGATCCCATTGGGGGAGGGGGCTGAGGCTTACTTGACAATTAGCCAGACGGGAAACTTGTTCATCTTCTCGCGGGTGTACTCGGCGGGTTCCTTCAGCTTCATCCGCAGGTAGATCAGACTGAGCGGCGGAATAACACCAAGACCCAGGCAGATACGCCAGGCAGCGCGGAGATGGTTCTCTCCGGTAGCGAGTACGACAATCATGGGCACGAGCGATGAGGCGACAGAGGCCAGATCGAGCTGGAAGTTGGTGAAAAGAATGAACCAGCGGTGCCGGGTGCCCTCGGCCAGTTCACCACTGCTCTCAGCGGCGGCGACAGAACCAGCAGGGTATTCACCTCCGACACCCAGACCCAAGAAGAAGCGATAGACCGTCAGGGCCGTGAACATGCCGGGAAGGCTACCATTATGGCCATAGGCACCGGCACAGAGAGCACCAAAAACGAACAGGATGACAGTGGAGACCATGAGGGTGTTGGATCGAGACCAATGGTCGGAAAGGTAGCCAAAAAAGAGCATGCCCACAACAGTACCAGCGAAAGCGATGGACGAGACATTTTGACTGTAGGTGGAGCCATCGTAGACCTTGGGATAAATTTTATCGAGCATGGTGTTGACGGTACCGATGACCTGACGGCCATAACCTATGTCAGTGCGATTGAACCTCAAGGGACATCTTAGAAGAGAGGAAATCACTGACATATTGCAAGTATCCATCCGACCACAAACCAGCACCGCAGGCAAAGGTAGGCCAACTGCGCTCCCAGAAGGATTTCTCGGTGTCGGCCAAGGGATCCTCATCTACGTGAGGGTCACCGTGCGGCGACACCACCAGCTCCTTGGTCTTCTCGTCACTGCGGTCCATCATTGTGTAGACTTAGCTTGCAGTCTCGGAAACTGACAGATAGAGCTAACTTGGAGATGTGGAGGAGTGTGAAGAAGAAGAGAAAGCAAGGGGGAAGCAGCAGGAGGGGCAACGTTAGCCAGCCGGGGCACGAGACCACGGGATACCCTACCAACAGCGGCGACAATCAGCAGCAGGAAGACGCTCGACCGGTGGGTGGGGGAGAGGTTTTATAGAGTCGGTGACCTGCAGCAGCCGGCAAAGCTTGTCCGAGGAAATTGCCCCATCATCGCGGCAGGGAACTGGGCTGAAGGAAGAGAGTGAAATGCAAAGCGGATCTCTGTGGTGGGGAGGGGAGAGGATAGTGTCAAGTTTGAGGTAGTACGGCGTGGGCACAAGGGAATAGGCCAGGTTCCTCGTATCTCACTGGTCCATGGGGACACCTTGACAGACATTTTCTGCTATCTCCGGTAGCGTAAACCATCAGGATGATATTGACTACACAGTAAGCAGAGAGAGAGATAGGGTGACCCACCGGCACACGACAATAGGAACTCGTGGTTCGGTGTCCCCGAGCCACTTTGTCTCCTTGCTCTCTATGGAGTACCTAGTCCTGGTCAGGATTACTACTACTGTGTAGGTACCAAGCTTCTCTGCTCCAAAGCTTGAAGTGGGGACGCCATGGATCCAGCCCGACTGACACCGTCGCTCCACGTGCAGGGCTCACTGGGTGTCGCCGGTTGGCCCCCCAAGTACGGAGTACTAAGGGGGGGATCCGAAGGGAGGAATATACGCAGCTCGGAGGGACGCTCGTTGCAGGGCAAATCGGGCGCGTGCAGAGGTCGCATTCTCATTCGATGGTTCAAGGGGTGGTGGCGCGATAGAGCCATCGCTGCTGATTCGCGATAAGCGGCCGCAGTGCAGACAGTTGGGGTGCTGTAACTTCAATGTTTTCTGCCATTTCCCCTTTACACCCTATGCCAGATATCAGATATCAGAAGAGGGTTTGTGAGTCAACTAGAGCATTTTATTTCACTTACCGAGACTTCACTGATCTTCTTTGTCAAGGAATTAAGGGGCATGGACAGAACTGCCAGTCTGTCAGGCACGTGGGCTCGATGGGTCTAATCAGGACGGCGCTTGGGCCCACGTGCCGCCCTTTCTGGCGCATCCTGCAGCTGGCGCAGCAAGTGCTAGGATTATTGAACGCATGGATGCTTCATCCTGAGGATCAGAGGTACTACCAGTATTCTTGGTCGGATCGGACTCGGTCAATGTAATGGAATGGGTTGATGCATCCCGATTCGGGGTATGACTTGGGGTTACACTGGCCACGTGCTCAATCACCCTCCTTTCACTTTGGACTGCAGCAGCGACCGGCAGTTTTTCTCGTGAAGAAAAAAAACAAATAAGGTCTGACCAGCCACGTGGTCGTTGGCAGACTTCTCTGGCAGTTACTCATTCCATTCTACATCATACAAGCTATTAAGTACTCCTATCCCACCATCAAATTAAACACTCCACTGCCGGGCTGCACCGTACAGTCCCATTCCACTCCCGCATACTCGCTGCGTGGACGCACCGTCACTGGAAACTTATCCTTGATCGGTCGCATGTTCGACGCGACCGCCATCGAGTTCAATCGCGGCGTGCGCCACTGCCCATCCACCGGCGCTATATCGTATCGGAGCACCAACAGAGCGGCTAATCCGAGAATCTCAGAGCTGGCAAAGTGTCGCCCGGGACAGATGACGGGGGACACTCCAAACGTCATGAAGCCTGCCGTGCGCCGCGGGTTCTTTTCCTCCGACCGGATGTACCGCCGCGCATCGAACTCCCGCGCCGTCTCTCCCCATGCCTCGGGCATGCGACCCAACGTCTTGGCCGGCATGTTGATCATGCTGCCCGCTTTGAGGAGATATTGATCCGCCAGCATCACGTCTTCCATGACAAATCGAGTCGGGGCGGATGCAGACTGCACGCGTAGGATTTCCTGGAAGCTCGAGACCACGAGCGGGCAGTTGTCGCGTAGAGCCGAGATATCGACGATGTGTCGCTGGTCGGCGTCGACGCGGAGCGCATTCGTGCGAATCTCCTCCCGGATTTCCTCCAGCAGGTCGGGTCGAGAGTACAGCTCATACAGCATCCAGAAGGCGGCGGGGACCGTGTTAGAGAGAAGCCCGATGCCCATGCCCACCTCCTCCCGCGCAATATCCTCGACGGGCATCCCAGCCTCTCTCATCGTCTTCCAACGTGCCTGGGTCAAATCCGATCCGTCCTCATGGCCCCCTTGCTCGTAGTAACGCACCATGGCGGCCACGACCGCCTCGCGTCCCCGCCACGCAGTGCGCGCAGTGAGCCAGGGGAGGAA